GAAGATTGTCACTACAGTAAAATTTCAGGAGGTGGGTCAGAAACAATGGGACCAAATGGTCTTCCTCTGCACCATAACAATTCTGTGATTCTATGATCATGTATTGCAGGGCTTTGTAAGGTGGGGTTTGGAGCTGAAATGTTGGGGGTCCATGCTCTGAGATGGCAATAGTGGAGATCAACCTGAATTATAACAAGTGTGTTCCTGCTCTCACAGCCCCCCTACTCCACTCTCACTGTTCTGAGTGGCTGTGATAATTTTCAAGCCTCTATATGGAGTTACAGTGGGAAAGAGATTGGGATGTACTGCTATAATACAGATGTTTTTTTTAAATATTTACAATACTTATTACTAATGGTGTATAGTATGCCTTCAAACTGTAATTCTTTCTCCTTTATTTCATACTCTGGTAACGAACTAGAAACCAAATGTAGTCATAGAGGTCTACAGCATGAAAACAGGCCCTTCGGCCCAACATGTCCATACTGCCCAGTTTTCATAATTAAACTAGTCCCTCTTGTCTGCATTTAATACATATCCCTCCATACCTATCCCATCCATGTACCTGTCTAAATGTTTCTTAAATGACAAAATTGTATTTGCCTCCACCACTACTACTCACCACCCTCTGTGAAAAAATTGCCTCTCTGGCCTCTTTTGTATCTCTCCCCTCTCACTTTAAACTTGAATCATATTCGTAGCTGAAACATCTACAATTAAAAGCTAGTCCAGTGGCAACTACGGAATTGTTAGGAATAGTTGTAAAATCCAGTCTGGTTCACTAAATACTCACCCTGCATGACGCCTTGTTCTTTGACATTGCTCTGCAGCATTCCTTTTCCTCTCAAATAAAAACAAAATATGGCAGGTGCTGGAAATGTGAAATAAAAAGAGATGCTGGAGAATCCCAGCAGGTTGCCTGCATCTGTGGACAGAGAAACAGGGTTGATGTTTTGAGTCCGATATGACTCCTCTTCAAAACTGAAAATGATAGTTTTTATGCTTTATGTAGAGGAAGAAGAGGAAGTGAAACAGATAGTGACAGGGCAAAGGGAATGCTGATGATGGTAAAGGAGTGATAAACAGGTGTAAATTGTAGGTGTGAAAAGGAGTACACGGGGCCACTCTATAGAGGGCACATGCAACATGACACGATGTACTCAATCTAACTTTCATAATAGACACCATGCTATATAGTCAAAATGTTACATGATCAAAGGTCCAAGAATCCCCTCTTCCAGAGCTGACAACCTGAATGTACAGAGATAACAAGGTGTAGAGCTTCAGAAAAAACAAAGAAGGGTCCAGACCCAAAACGTCAGCTTTCCTGCTCCTCTGATGCAGCTTGGCCTGCTGTGTTCATCCAGCTCTACACCTTGTTATCTCAGATTCTCCAGCATCTGCGGTTCCTACTATCTCTAAAACAACCTGAATGTACACACAGGTTGCCATTTGTTTCAATGCAGCTGAAAGGAGACTCATTCATTGTGTTTATAACATGACAGATTTCATTACAACACGAGGTCACCAGCACTGTTAATACTTATCAATAGGCTGAAGTCTGGCAAAAGAACTGAAAGGTAGTGGGGTTAAAATTGATTCAGAGATAGTAGGAACCGCTGATGCTGGAGAATCTGAGATAACAAGGTGTACAGCTGGCTGAACACAGCAGGCCAAGCTGCATCAGAGGAGCAGGAAAGCTGACGTTTCGGGTCTGGACCCTTCTTCAGAAAAAACAAAGAAGGGTCCAGACCCGAAACGACAGCGTTCCTGCTCCTCTGATGCTGCCTGGCCTGCTGTGTTCATCCAGCTCCACACCTTGTTGTCTCAGACTCCAGCATCAGCAGTTCCTACTATCTCTTCTATTCCCATAATTTATGTCGACAACCCTTCTGGAATAATGGTACCACATTATCTGTCCATCAGTCCTTTGGCATTTCTCCTGTGGCCAGAGAGGATGTGGAAAAGATGCACATCCAGTTCTTTCTCTGCCGTTTGTCATTGGGGGGAAAAGGATTCTGAATAGTTTATGCTATAAAGACAAACATCAGAAGAGGAGTAGGCTATTCAGCCCTTTATGCCTGTTCCACCATTCAATGAGAGCATGGCTGATCTGTGGTCTAACTCCATGTTGGCCTATAACCCTGAATACACTTGATTGACAAAAAATTATCCATCTCAGCTTTAAACTGATCCAGCAGTCGTGGAAGAGAGTTCCAAACCTCTACCACTCTTTCTGTGTAGAAGGGCTTCTCGAACGGTCTGGCCCTAATTCTCATGACTATGCCCCTAGTTCTATGATCTCGAACCAGTGGAATAGAATGGCAATTTATTGTCATGAGTATTCTTACTAAACAAATACAGTGAAAAGTTTTATAAGTCGTCATACCACAGCACCTAAATTAATGATAGAAGTCATAAATAAGAAGTAAAAGTTCATCACAGTTCAATTAACAACTCCTGAGTTTGGAGCACACTGGAAAAATGGGCCAACACTGTAACGCGGTGCCTGGCTCAGATTGACCTGCCACACCGTGACGTGACTTTCATGCCGGGACTTGACTTTCACGCTGGGCCATTGGAAGACCCGGAAGTCACCTCCAAAGCAAGGATGAGACCTCCACACCAATACAAGACCGCTGTGCTGGGATCAGACCTTCATGCTGGCCTGCCGAAATCCATGGAAGCCACCAAAGACCTCCACGACAGGACGAGAATGCTATTCCAGGCTGAGACCACCCTTCCTGAACAAGACCACCACAACAGGAGACTGCCCCGCCAGGCGCCGGGCCTATCCCACCATTCTGGGCCATTGGAGGCGACTTCATCGCTGGGCCTGGGCTGGGTGAAGATGCCTTCTGCTGAAGTTGTTAAAACAAGGCAAGGTACCGTAATAAATGAAAACATTAAAAAAACTGTAGAAAGAAGTAATCATTGGCGGTCCCTTGCAGACAAGGATGACTCTCTTCCGCTCTCAGGGTGAGTCTATAAGTGACTGCATAGACTGATGCAGCTACCGTAGACTCTGTTACACTTGGGGCAATGGTTGCAGGTAAGGGTGGGTGGGGCATTGGGGTGGCAGTGCGCTGCCTTCGCTGTTTTTGCCTGGTTTCCACTTTTTCCTGACTGCAAGTCCCCAGGTGCTCGACGCCTTCCCGGATGATCTTCCTCCACTTTGAATGGTCTTGGGCCAGTGAGGCCTTGAGGGTATCACTGAGCCGCTTCTTCTATCCACCTGGGCCTCACCTGCTGTTTCAGAGCTGGGAGAAGAGCACCTGCTTGGGGAGTCTTGTGTCAGTCGTGCGAATGACATGCCCAGCCCATTGTAGCCGATCAAAGGTGTTCAGTGCCTTGATGCTGGGGATGTTGGCCTGGTTGAAGACGCTGGTGTTGGTGCATCTTTCTTCCCAGCGAATTCGCAGGATCTTGCGCAGGCAGCATTGGTGGTACTGCTCCAGTACCTTGAGATGTTTGCTGTAGACTGTCCACGTCTCAGGGCTATACAGGATAGCCAAAACCATCACAGCTCTGTAAACCATGATCTTGGTGTCAGATCTGTTGTTGTTGTTCTCGAACTCCCTTTTCCCCAGGCGGCCGAAGGCTGTGCTAGCGCACAGGAGGCAGTGCTGGATCTCTTCATCAATAGCTGTTTTGACTGACAGAACACTTTTGAGGCATTGGAAATAGTCAACGCTCTCCAAGGCCTCCCTGTGGACCTTAACGATTGGGAGTTCGCACCACAATGCCAGGCCAGGTTGATGGAGCACCTTTGTCTTGTGGATGTTCAGGGTGAGACCCATGCTCGTGTATGCCTCTGTAAAGGTGTTGACAGTGATCTGGAGTATGTCCTCTGAAATTGCACACACACAAGCATCATCTGCGTACTGCAGCTTGATGACACTGGTTGAGCTGACTTTGGTTTTGGTTTGAAGTGAGCGGAGGTTGATTAATTTCCCACAAGTTCTGTAAGTTAGCTTCACTCCAGCGGGGTGCTTGTCGGCAGTGATGTGAAGCATTGCAGCAAGGTATATCAAGAAAAGTGTTGGGGCGATGATGCAGCCCCGCTTGACACCGGTGCGAAAGGGAAATGGGATGTTGGTGGAGCCATTTTTGTTTACCACGACTTCCACGTTGTCATGGAACAGGCGAAATATGGCGACAAACTTCATGGTGCAACAAAAACAGAGAAGGATGCTCCATAATGCTTCCCAATCAATGGTGTCAATGACCTTTGTAAGGTCAAAGAAGGCCATATAAGGGGTAGGCTCCCTTCTCGGCATTTCTCCTGCATCTGTCACGCAGTGAAAATCATGTCCTTTGTGCCCGTCCGCGGCCAAAAGCCACACCGCGGCTCCGAAAGGAGTTCCTCAGCCAAGGGGAGGAGACGGTTGAGGAAGACCTTGGTGAAGAAAAAGTGAAGTGGATGGAGTAGGTGAACTCAAGTCTCCTGGGCCGATGAGCCCACATTGTGCTGCTACTCCGCTGCCATCTTGAAAATATTAGTCTTTGGAAGTAATTTATCTCTTCACGTGTCTTTTTTTTGTTAATATATTGAATCTTCAATCGGTCACCCCTTATCAGTTTAAGTTGTAGATAAACCAGGTGAAATAAGATAACAGAAAGTTACATAAACCCTCTACACCTTTGGGAATGCAGACTTTGGAAGTACTGCGCAGACGTGACCAAAGGGGCGGGGCGATGAGGCTTGCGGGGTGGGGGTTGACCCTTTGCGGTGATTGACAGCTGTGCAGCTTGGTCGAACTGCGCAGACGCGTCCTCACGGCGGCATGGGAATTCGCATCACATGATGGCGGGTCCTGGAAAGTGATTGACAGGATGGTGCACGGTTGGAGAAACACAGGCGCGTCTCCAGGAGGCGGGAAGAGTGTGACGCCACGTGAGGGCGGACCTCAGACGGTGATTGATGGTAAAGTCTATTGCGCGACCGCGCAGGCGCTCGGCGTGTCGGGGAGGGGGCGGAGCTGGAGTTCGGAGCGTGGGGGAGGGGCAGGCACGTGACGCGGCGACGGGAAAGCAGGGAGATTGCATCCAACATGGCGGCGCTGGGCCTGGCCTCCTTCCCTTGAAGGAACCCACTTGTCGTCTTTTCGATAAAGAGCAGCGGGAGGTGCGCCGTCAGCGTGTCTCTGAGGGTCCTCGTGATGGCTCAGTGCGTGCAGAGCGTTCAGGAGTTCATCCAGGACACCTTTGTGCCTATGGTGGCTGTGCTGTGCAGTGAGGCCGCCGAGAGCTCGACACGGAAAAACAACCTGAGCTTCGCCGAGCTGGTCAGGCCTTTCTGCCGCCTCACCTCCGAAGGTGAGTTTGCCGGATGGGAGGGAGCCAGAGAGAGATAGAGGCCTTCAGGTCTTTGGCCTGAAGGTGCCTAGTTATTCGCTTCTCCTGTTGTCAGATCCCCCGGGCTCTGTCACCCTCACCCGTCCTCCTCGTAAACTGTCTCTGCGCTTCATTCAGCACCTCTTTCACCCTACACCGCTGTCAGCTAGAGAAGGTTTATTTACCTTCCCGTGACTGTCCAAGTCCAACCGCACTAAACAAATGTTTCTGTGCTTTATGTTTCCCTACAAAGCATGCTGCAGAAAGTGCTGGGAATACTCAACAGGTCTGATACCGGAGAGGGAGAAAGAGTTAACATGTTTCATGGCGATGCCAATGTACTAAAACAGGGAAAAAGTTAGACATGTAATGGATTTGAAGCAGGGGACATAGGCTAGTCTGTATTTTTACTCTTAAGTTAGTGAGAAAGCTTTAGAACCCTGTTGAAACAACTGATCAGCTTTTCAGCTGACTCAAGTAAATTTTGTTCTAGACAGAGGTCCAATGAAGCTCATGTATTGTACTTCAAATTCAGCACCAATCTAATAAACATGTCTGAAGTTGACCAGGCTGGCTTGTTGCTTGTAATTATGATTTCATCCTATGCTGAAGTGAGTGGATTTATACTTGAAAACAGTGCATGGTATTTGCAGTTATGTGAAGTGAAAGCTTTTGCTGTTTTACATGTGTCATTGCTGGTGAGGGAAACAAAAAAAACTGGGATGATATCTAATGTTTTGATGTTGTAATGTATTGGTACTTTATAAAATAATCATGAGATTCAATTCTCCCAATGAGGAATTAACTGCTGGATGCATAAATGGTACAGTTTATGTTTATGCTTTGTTAATAGGGATGTGTTTGTGCAGAAATAATTCATTTGGGCTGAACAACTGGAAATGGGAGCAAGAATGGAATCCTTAACTTTTTTTATTAAATAATACTGGCCTGTTGCATTGAGTTCAATAGGCTTACAAATTCACTAGTGATACATTGAACAGGTCAGTGTATGAAACTGTCTTTGCTGCCACATTGAATTTCATGTCACAGTTTTGAGTTGGGTGATTTATCTTGATGCCTAAGTGTAGCATGTAGCAGATGTGTGTCCTGGCATTGATGTTTGTGTTAATGAATCCACTGGGAAGAAGTAAAGTGCATCAGTTGTATTACACTGGTTTTTACAAGTACTTGGAAATACCCTGCCTCCATGTCTCCATCTTGACCTGGAGATATAAAATTTCAGGAATGTAAGATTTTGGAGCAGGAGAAGTCTGTCTTCTCTGCCTTTCAGTAAGATCTTGGTTGATCTGGTTTCAAATCCTCTCTTCTGGCTGCCTCCTGTAACCCTTGACTCCCTTGTTCAAAAAGGATCTGTCTCACTAAGCCTGGACTAAATTCAACAACTATGCTTCACTTGTTTTATTCATTCTCAAAATGTGGGTGTCGCTGGTCAAACCAGCAATGTATTGCCTTAGAGAATGTGATGATGAGCTGCATTTTGAACCTTTTGCAGTCCCTTTGGTGCTGGTGCACCTGTAGTTTTGTTAGGAAGTTCCAGGATTTTGACCCAGCAAAAGGGAAGGAATGAGAATATATTTCCAAATTGGGATGATTGGCTTGGAGAAGTACATGTGGTTGGTGGTGTTCCCATGTACCTGCTGCCCTTGTCCATCTTGATGGTAATGGTCTTGGGTATGGAAGATATTGTTTAAGGAACAATGATGACTTGCTGCGGTGCATCATATATAGATGGTGCACACTACAGTCATTACCTTTGAAGGAAGTGAATGTTCAAGATGGTGGATGATGTACCAATCAAACAGGACTGCTTTGTCCTGGATGGTGTCAAGCTTCGAGTGTTGGAGCTGCATTTATCCAGCAACTGGAAAGCATTCTATCATACTCCGGCCTTACGTCTTGTAGATGGTGGATAGGTTTTGCGGAATTAGAAGCTGTGTTATTTGCTGCAGAGTTTCCAGCCCCTGGCCTACTCTTGTAGCCACAACATTAATGTAGCTGGTCAGTTCTGTTTCTGGTCAATGATGACCTCCAGGCTGTTTGCTGAGGAAGTGATTACTGCAGACTCTCAACAGATTGAGAGAGGAAAAATTCTCCCACTGCCATCTTAAAAAGAGGCCTCATTCTAAATTGTTTCCCCTAGTTTTAGTCTCCCTGGCAAGAGTAAACATCCATCTGGTATCCAATCTTTCAAGTCCCATCAGAATCTTGTTTGCTTCAATGATATAATCACCAGTTTCTTATTGTTTAATGAGATTTGACTAATTGCTTATTCATCACCATTCAGGAGAAGATGGTGGTAAGGTGTTTTATATCTGTATGGCTTGCTGGGCTATTTTCGAGTGCATTTAAGGGTCAGCCATGTTGCAGGTCTGAGACAAATCTAAACCACAATAGGCCAAGACTGCAGATTTTCTTATTTGAAGCAGATACGTTTTTTATAATCTGCAAGTTTTTTGTGCACCATAACAAACCAACTTTATACTCCAGACTTTTTAAGTTTAAATTCCATTAGTCACTTAGTATTTAAACCTGTCTCTAAACCATTAATCCTGGCCTCTAGACTACTAGCCCAGTAACATTACTGCAATGCTACCATCTCCTGTCATCGTGTTTTCATCAGTGCTGGGTCATAATCCTGGGACTCCTTTCCTAACAGCACTTAATGAATACATGCCACGTGCTCTTCGGCAGTTCATGAAGGCAGATCGCCATCACTTTTTCCAGAGCAGTAAGTGCTAGCCAAGCCTGCAACATCACGCGAATAAATGAAAAAAAAAAAGCAGGCAATGCTGAGTCTTATGAATTATAAATAGATTTAACGAACAAATGGATAAATCTTGCATAATTTTCCACTTTTATTATTTTATTCTTGTATTTATTCCCCAAGTTTCAGGATCCCAGTGGTCTAAAATGCATCTATGGTGCATTTTCAAAATGATCATTGAATTTAGATTTTGATAGGCACAAGCTTTTGGATTGAATGTTCTCAGCTATGCCATCTGTGTATATGTTGGGTACACGTTTCTGTAATGTATGTTTTCTTTTGTGCCTTGAAGAATTAACCATTTATATTTAGTAGAAACTCAGGAACTTTAAATACTGTCTTAACTCATTTGCTTACCAGTCCAGATTGTCCAGGAATTGTGCACCACACTCCTAAGTGTCCTTTTTGCGTCACCTTTAAAATTGTGGCACATGTTTGCTCTCCAAGTTCTTCCTCCCAAAACATAATAACTATAATAAAATGTAGAAAGCTAAATGAATGATCTATAACTGTCGATGTGCATTGTAACTGTTATTTTCCACAATGTGTCGACCATCTTTCCCACAATTACATGTTTTTTTTGTTTAAAATCCTGTGGACTTTGATCAACCTTGAAGGCTACTTGTTCAGTTGCCCATCCCATCTCTGAGTGGGGAAAATAAAGACTGTTCAGTTTTTGACAATTCAATTTTTGTTTTCACATTTACAATTTCGCATATACAAGTTTTACAAGTATCTATTATGGTAGTTACATTCCATGCTTGGTTTTCTTTGACATTTGATCTTCCTTGACACATGATTCTTTCAATTGTTTTGTTAGACTGACTTTGTTCTCCGTTCATTCTTATCTGTATTAATAGTCATGAAGTCACTTCCAGCTGCACGTGGTCAAAGTTGCTTGGTTTAACTTTATACAGTAGGTTTTCTAAATACTAAAAAGCAGGAGTACAACATGTCCCAATGTGGGGTGGCACAGTGTTTTGGTGGTCAACACTGCTGCCTCACAAGTGCCAAGGAACCAGGTTTGATTCCAGACTTCGATGAGTGACTGTTTGGAGTTTGCCCGTCTTCCCTGTGTGGGTTTCCCGTGGGTGCTCAGGCTTCCTCCCATAGTCCAAAGATGTGCAGGTTAGATGGATTGGCCATGGGAATGCAGGGTTATGGGGATGGGGGAGTTGAGGCAGGGAGTTGGAGGGATGGGTGATATGCTCTTTGGAGGGTTGGTGTGGACTCAATGGATTGAATGGCCTGCTTCCACACTGTAGGAATTCCATAATTCTGATACTGATACACTATGATTTTCTTAACTATATGTATTTGTTTGCTGTGACTTTAGAAGTAATGCTACTTATACATCCTCAGGTGGATGCAACAGATCTGATGGCACTCTTAGAAAGAGGTGTTCTTTGGTTCAATATCCCGCACGATACCAAAATCATAGAAACGTGGGACAACAAGGTGTAGAGCTGGATGAACACAGCAGACCAGTTCCTACTATTTCATAGAAACATGATTTGGTTGTTGTCACATGGCTATTTGCAGGAGCTTGCTGTGCTGTAGCAAGTTAATTTTTCTGTTACCTGTATAACAGCAATGCCAATGCTTGTAAAATTGTTTAATTGGCTATCAGATTGCTTTGTACAACTATCCTGAAAAATGCAATTTTAAGTATATATTTGAAAGGCAGAAGCTTTGTGCATTTAATTTATAATGTTTAAAGGGGCTGCATGTGCAAAGACTTGGGTGTTTCCATACAAATCTTTGAAGGTGGTAAGACATGTTGAGTTCTTTTTAAAAAGAGTATGGGGTCCTAGGCTTCGTATGTAGAGGCGTGGAGCACCAAATCTAAGACGCTGTCCTAGCTTGTTATAAATCCTTAATGCGTACTTCGTAATGAGAATCATGGGTACGAACTAATGAGTTATAGGTTGTCCCCTTTAGACCGGTGATCATTACACTGAGATTTAATAATCTTCAAAATGAAGAGTTTAAGGAAAGAAGGAGCACCTATTTTCAATGACTGGAAGGTTATGAACTAGAGAACTTAGATTTAAGATTATTGATTTTTGAAAAGACACCAGATTAAAAGCAAGTTTTTTTTATCTGGAATGAGCTGCTTGAAAGGGTGGCAAAAGCAGGTTCAATTGTAACTTCCAGAAAATAGTTGGAGAAATACTTGGGGAAAAATTGTGAAGTGGGGCTTGTAGCATAATTTTAAAGAATGATTGACTGAACAGCCTTCAGAGATGCTGGGGTCTCTTCCATTTTTCTGAAGGGTCTAGGCCCGAAACGTCAGCCTTCCTGCTCCTCTGATGCTGCTTGGCCTGCTGTTCATCCAGCTCTACACCTTGTTATCTGGGGTCTCCTGTATCCATCTGCTTTGTTTAATTACACTGTATCTCCGTGTACTCCAAGTCGGTATATAATCAGAATGGAATTGGAACATGCAACATTAGTAAACAGTGAGCAGAATGTTGGTTTCAGCTGTTTAGTGAATTTTTGCTATTTTTCCTTTCTGCCTAGTTCATATGCGAGATCCTAACAACCAGAGCCATGTTATTAAAAACCTGAGGATCAACGTTACTGGAATTGTTACCCAGCCGCCACAACAGACTGCTATTCGGAAACTGTTGAGTGAAGTGGTTTCTGCCAGTCAACCTGCAGAAGGATTGGTTGCTAATGTGATTACAGCGGGAGATTATGATCTCAACATCAGTGGTAAGCCCTCAGTTTCATGTTTGTTAATTACTTTTGCTGTGAAAGGAACCTCAACTTGTGCTCCTATGATGCTGCTTGGCCTGCTGTGTTCATCCAGCCCTGCACCTTGTTGTCTCGGATTCTCCAGCATCTGCAGTTCCTACTATCTTTGACTCAACTTGTGGAAGGTGTTTGAAGTTTAGATTTCGTTCTTTGAGTTGGAAATTCAAACAGCTTGATTAGCCAAGATATCCTGATGTTTTTCAGTGTTTGTATTTATCTAATTGAGTTACAATTAGAGTATAACTTGCAATCTCTAAGACAGTTTGGGCCCTGAAATTGGGTGGATATTCTCTGTAGCAGTACTCTGCAATTGAAAAGGGACTTTGCTCAAATGGATATTGTGTAAATGTTTCTGGCTAAACTTTGAAATGACCATTGTTTCCCCATTGACCAGACTATTAGTTTGCAAAGTGGATGATTCATTAAATTCGTGCTATCCATCCTGTTTGTGGATAATTGAAGTAGCCATGAGATGATTTCAGTGTTTGCTTCAGATAAAAAGAAAATTGAGAAGATTCAGATAGCAATGACTCCTGGTGATGGCTTGGTTTGAGAAGGAACCAGCCTTCCCAGACCACTTCGCAGCACGCCTTTGGCAAAATTCCATCTGGAGTGCCTTATCTTCAGTCACCTGGGACAGAGGGAGGGAGGGAGGGAGTGAGTGAGTCAGTGGGCTTTCCTGTTCACCTGATTTCAGGCCCAGCCGAGGTGGCTGTCTGCAGGTCTGGCTGGAAGTGGTTTTTTTGGGGACAACACCGTGACTTGGCCATGCTACGTGGCCCTGGATAAGGAGCATGTGGGTCTTGTTGCAAATCTTGAGACTGTCCCCAGTTGGTTAGACTAACTGGAACAATTGGATGATCAGGGCAATGTGCATGAGTGAGATGTTTCCTTGATTTTCTCTCTCTCTGGCTGTTAGATGACTTCACTGCATCAATCTGGTGCATCTTTATTGAGGGGACTGTAAAAGTCAGGAATAGAGAATTGCAAAAAGACACAGACTGCCAGACAGGAAGAGCTGCAAAGAGCAAGATCTATTTGAAGGAGGAGTTTCTTCACTGAAGAAACACAGCACATGAGAATTTGTATGGGATTTAACAATACATTGCGCAGATGTTTTATAATCAACTTGTTCAGACATAAATGCCTGCACAGTATGTACAGATTGGGACTGTGCATCATCGTATAGTGCCAGTGATTTGATAAATTCATTCTTGTATTGGATGTGATTTTACTTTCTCTAGTATGTTAGAGAACAGAACCATTATTTGGGTATGCCCTAAAGTAGATTAGTAATAGACATCCGCTGTGGAATGGGCTTCTGAAAGCTAACTGATGTACATATCCTCATAAAGGAATGACATCCGATTCCAGGAGAGCTGCTGTCTGTTCTTTTTTTTTTTTTTTTTTAAAAAACACATCTCCATCTTACAAAGCTCTGAAAATGACCAAACTTAGCAAGATCTAAAATCCGAAGAGCTGTGGAGAGATTCTGGAAAGGTGTTGCCATAAAGATCAACCTCTTTATTGAATTAGTTGAATACCTGTAGGCTGAGGGAAAAAAATGTGACTGCTTATATTTGTCTAATTAGCATAATTTTGTTTCCGGGCCAAATAGCTGGATAGAAGCATTATTTTTAAATTGTTGCGAATCAATATAGCACCCTGTCTCTCAACCTTATTTTTATCCACTCCTTTTATGTAACTGTGTGCCTTGCTCAGGATAGTTCCTGCAGTCCCAAGTCAAAACGTATGAAGTCTGATCTATTAGGTTATATTCTATTAAGATATTAATATTAGCTCATCCTGAATGACGCTTGTGGTCTTGCAGGTGGTCTTCTCATTCTGGTAGTTTTGACTTAGATCTGTGGGACTTTGTGGCCTGAGTATAGAGAACTTATGTTTGTGTATGGAATAGGATCTGAGGTGGTGCTGCAAATAACGTTGGGTCTTGATCCTTTTGTGATTAATTATAACGAGCATGTGCATGTACGTCATCAAAATTTGCATTTATTAACCCGAAACCTTTCAGTTGTCACTTTTTTTTTTTTGCCATTTAAAAATGTTTGCTTTTCAAATTTAATTTTGTGATGAGATGAACTTAAACAGCCCAGTATGAACTAACCCATTGTTTTCTGGGGAAAGAATGCCTAGAAACTTACTTCTGTGAACTGAAAATTCCCAATCTTTAAAAATAAGGTTTTCATAAAAATTGCAGAACTATTTCAGTGGTGGAATTGTCTTTTTTTTTTTGATTTCAAATACCTTCATTTAGTTTTGAGCTTTGTATGTTGGGCCTTCTGTTTGATGGCCCAGGCTTAATAGTCAGTGGTAAAGCAGTAATGCTCCCTGTTGATCTTTAAAACTACCCTCAAAGATCTGGTGATCTTGGTCCTGCAGACTTGTCTTTTCTCAGCAGTAGTTTAAACCTGACAAAGATGTGCAGCTGCAGAGATGGCAGGATAAGTAAACCAGGAAGCACCAAATGCCTCCAGTTTTTTTAATATTTCAAAATATAAATAATTGGTTATTATAATTAGATCAAGTTAAAATAAACTTTTAAAAACTTCACACATTTCTTTAATCACCACAATGCAGAAATTTGACATTCCACAAATCGAAAATTACCTCTTTGGGGTCATTTAGAGTGTTCAGTAATTATTTATGAAGTTTTTACACTGTTTAAAAATCCAGTTGCATTTGTTTCAATATTATATTATTTTTTGAGGAGTTGTAATAGCAAGACTAACCGTGCAAGTTTGATTTTCTCACCAGTTGAATGATTTGCCATTGATTTATGACTTGCAGATGCCACAAAATTGTACCCAAGTGAGAAGGGCAAATCACTGATAGCAATGTCTGGACCTCCACCTTGCTTTACATGTGTGTGGACTTCCAAAATTCCTGTCAGATCTAATGAAGTGTGTAGGAACTTCATAAAATATTTTGCTTGAGAGGTTAAAGTTTTTTGCAGTAAGTTTGTAGCTTTGAATTGGATTTGTATTTCTATATTGTGTTGACATAATTTTACACTTAAGTTCTGACTAGTGGCAAGGCGTCTGGAAATGTTTGTTCACATTTAAATGAGGTGGCTAAATCTTTGAAAGTGCACAGTTCAGTCTATTAGGGGAGAAAAACTGCTATTAGTGAGCAACTGGGTCAACAGTACCTCAAATGTCTAGGAGCTCTTGCGTAGTGTGAGGATATTTAGGAGAGAAAGACATACAGCATCAAAGGTGCTATTTATTTACCATTTTCAGACAATCAGTTGAAAAAGTGGTGGCTGTAAAGTCCAAGAAGAGGAGGAGATCGAGAAATAAGAACGTTGAGAGATGAGTTTCAGGAATGCATATTCAACAATAAGTTGGCAGTATTAACAGGATCTCTGGAAGCTCCTTAGGAACATTAGGTAAAGAATATTAACTAAAGAAAACATCAAGTAAATGTAGAACTGAGGGGAAGCCAACTGAACAGTTTTAAAAGAGGTAGTGGTGAGGTTTAAATGTCTTTAAGGTTGTTATTGAGTCAGCGGTTTGAATCATTTCTGATATTTGTAAAAAATGAGTTTCTGATTTTTGTTTAGTGTAACATGGTTCTTGTTAAAAGTTCATTATTAGCTATTTGTGAATATGTTCAGTGACTGACTGCCATAGTTAACAATTGCAAAAATAAGACTTGTGGTTTATAAGGATAAGTTTCATCCTGGCATCTGACTTGTCCATTATGATTAACTGGAATCATAACAGAGGAGGACCTCTTTGCAATATTAAAATGAATAGAGCTGAAAATCGACAAATCCATAGGTCTGCATCTAAGTGTTGAAGCAGGAGACGATAGAGACAGTTGATGGACTGGTGATTAACTTCCCAACTTGCAGAGATTCTAGAATGACTTCTGCAGACTGGAAGATAGCAAACTTAAGAAGGGAGAGAGAGAAAAGCGGGAACATTACTGATTTTACTCTTGTATCGGTATTGGGGAAAATGCTAAACTCTAGATGGAAGGAAGTAGACACATGGTGGTAATGATTTGATTGGCATAGTCAGCATGGATTTATGAATAGGCAGTTGTATTTTCTTAACTTGTTTGGTGTTTGTTTGAAGTTACTAACAACATTGATAAAGGAGAACTGATGGATGTAGTATGATGATGCTTTTGATAAAATCCCTGTTAGAAGTCTGGTTAGAAGAATTAAGACAGAAGGGGTAGGAGGTAATGTAATAGTATGGATTAATGATTGGTTAACAGAAAACAGGACTAAATGGGTCATTCTCACTTTGGCTTGTGGGTACTGCAAGATCTGCACTTGGGACCCCATCTGTTCACCATCTATATCCCTGGTTTGGACATGGGGACAAAATGTGATATTTTCTAATTTGTAGTTAACACAACACAAAGCTAATTTGGAATAAATGCTATGATGTTTCAGGAGGACTTTGAGTGGGCAAGAACATGGCAGATAGGAATATAGTATGGAAAAATGTGAAGTCATCCACTTTGCTTGGAGAAACTGACGTGCAGAGTGTTTAAATGGAAAGTGGAGCTGTACCAAGAGGCCTAAGTGTCTTTGTGATAGTTTTGGTGAAGTCTAATATACAGGTGCAAAAGCTTTTAGGAAGGCTCGTGGAATGTTGTTTTATTGCAAGAGGATTGAAGTACAGGTATAGTGAAATCTTTGGTTTTATATGGGCTTAGTTCGACTACACCACCTGGAATACTTTGTACTGTTTGATTTCTTTATCTTAGGAAAGATTTTTGTTACCAGAGAGGGAGTGCAGCAAAGCTTCACAGACCTAGGGATGGTGTGAATATGCAAACTTGGTATAGATTCTGTAGAGTTTCGAAGATCTCATTGCAACTTAGAAAATACTTTAAAGGGATAGACAAGGTAGATGCAGGTGAAGATGTTTCCCTGGTTGGGAAATAGTACGTGGCAGACACTTATTTGCTGTGATGGTCACCGATTCTATTCACAG